TCATATTTCGGTTACAAAGTGTGCTGACAAATACCATGTTTTCTCCTGATGCCTTGCAATAGAATTGACGAACGACGGGATTTTAGAGCTTTGGATTAAGTCAAAAAACATGCGCAATTTGAGAATTTAGGGTCGAGCAGGAAATAATGTTCGCCATTTCTATTTAGGTAACGATCGACAGTGATCCTTCGAAGTCCATTGCTTTTGGTTCAAAAGATGAGATGCTCACTCCTCAGGCTTATCTTCAGGTATGTTTGCCTCCACCCTCAACCTTCCAAAAAATTGTGGCGAGGATTGAAATGAGTACTCCATTATTTTATTAATTAATAACCCCACAGACTTTACTTAAAAGAAAATTATGGCTACAAAATTCCATTTTTGTACTTTACTTCGATGTAACAACTTATTATTGACCATCCAAGTGTTCTTTTGTTCTGATTACACTAATGGGGTCTGAATTTTATAGTAATTTTGACGAGGTTGGACTACTTATGATAATGTGGCTTGGTAACTAGGACCGAAAAATAATCAAGGGAATCTCGTGCTCAACTAACTGCTGCAATGCCTTTCAGCTGATAGCCTGACTTGCATACGCGCCTATGATCCTGTGTTCTCAGCATAGACCAAGATTTTAATCTAAGACAGTTCAAGAATTTCGCGAGGTAATGTTTTTGCCTACTCCTGAAAGGAGTTTGCACAACGACCCGATCATGGTCCGCACTGCCTTTCTCATAAGCTCTGCTGGTTTTCTTCTCGAGACGGCATTCTGGCACTAACCTACGTCTGTTCAGCCTACAAAGGGAGGCAATTGGCCGGAATTTGTGCGAAGCGCTGTGAGTTGGTTGAAGCATGTTGCATGGGTTTGCTTATCCTTCTTACGCTTTGACATTGCCCAAAATGAAAACTTGTGATCGTGACTCCTGATTAGCTGATATAACTTATGGCAAAATACTTAGTTCCATTCCCTTTCAAAATCTCATGCCCTCTCCGTTCACTTGAAATGCATCGTGATGCATAATAACGCACACAAAGTTATTTTACCACTTCGATCATAACCAGTGTAGTACATTTCAGGCAAGTGTTTGATCAACCTTAACATTGGAGGGTTTGAAAATGTGTACAGCGATGTCTGTAGCCTGTCCCTCCAATGCTTGCAGTCCACGGCAGTTTGGGGTAGTCTTACCTCGGTAGATAGATAGTCTTCGTTTTGAAATTCATTAATGAGTGCAGAATATTGAGGTAGCTTTAAGTGAAGGGAGGCATTACAAATAAAAGGAAAAGTAAAAATTCTACATATCGGCAGTCACGCCTTTACTATCTATTCATGTAATTTGTATCGACAATTACAACACTCGATTAATGTTCGGCATTGAGGCTCAAATCGGCTTTGTGTTTGCCGCCTCGCAAAGTAATGTGCATAACAGACTTTACCACCCGACTTCCGGTAGCAATACGAGGCAACACAAACACAGGCTTCACATCCTACCTCAATACAAATGGGATGCCAGTGCCAGCGCTCTCAGCGGAGCTGGTGATGGCGCACGAGTTGGGCCACAGCTACGGCTCATTGCATGACCCTGACACGCCACTGTGCTCGCCCGAGAACGAGCGTGGTGGCGTCTACCTGCTCAACAAGTACGCCGTCTCCGGCATGATGCCCAATCACTATGTAAGCAGTGCCGAATGGTTTATTTCGATTGATGCGTTCGAAAATTTAACTCTTGTCCTGTATAGTCATAAGCGCCCTATTAAAGGTATGGCTGTACTTGGGAAGGATTGGCGATTTGTTTAACCCTGTCATCAAAATGCTACGCTTGAGATACTAGGAAATAGGAATTCCCTGTTATCCCAAGCTTTCTGTGACTTTCACGTTAGCTATGATTGGCGTTACCACTTTCATCGCCCAGTGGCTTTTAATCTGGAAATGATCCCTATTTAGCCATGCACTTACCTTTAGCAACACCGTTTCATTTCGTAATTATTTCCCACAATTATTCTTTGTCATACTTTCCAT